ATATACGGACAGTGTTGAGCAGCGATTCTATTTCAGATGATGTTTTTCCATACAGCTTCAGATCATCCATATAAAGGAGGTGGGATAGTCTGGCAGATGTTTTTGATGTTTGATAGCCATGTCCTGAGTTATTCAGTATTGTTGACAGAGGAAACAGTGCAATAACAAATAGTAATGGTGATAATGAATCTCCTTGAAATATTCCTCTCTTGATATTAACCTCTCCCAGCCTCTCACCATTGATCTGCAACTGTGTCTTCCATTGTGCCATCGATCTTTGCACAAATTTTCTGATGTTTCTACTGACTCCTGTTATTTCTAGGCACTTTATTATCCAATCATGTGGCAGAGAGTCAAATGCCTTTTTGTAGTCAATCCATGCCACATTCAGGTTGGTCTTCCTTCTCTTGCAGTTTTCCAAGATCATTTTGTCTATTAGGAGTTGATCTTTTGTTCCTCTGCTATTGGGGCGGTTTCCTTTCTGCTCAGGTGGAAAGAGATTGTTTTCAACTAGATGCTGTTGTACTGCATCAGCTACCACACCAGTTAGTAATTTGAAAGTTGTTGGTAAGCAGGTAATTGGCCTGTAGTTACCTGGTGTTGCCCCTTTTGCTGGATTTTTCATTATTAGGTAGGTTTTCCCAGTTGTTAGCCACTTTTCAATTTCTCCTCCTTGTAGTATATTGTTGAACTGTTTGGCAATGAGTGGGTGTATAACAGTTAGATGTTTCAACCAAAACCCATGCAGTTCATCTTCACCTGGTGCTGACCAATTTTTGATTTTCTTTGCTCTTTTTTCTACCATTTTTGTTGTTATTACTAGTTCTTTCATTTCAACTTCTGTTTTATTTGCATCCACCTCTTTTAACCAAGCCGCATCCTTGTTGTATTTCTTTGGGTTATCCCATATCTGCTTCCAGAACTGCACTGTTTCTTCCTTGTCAGGTACTGACTGATTCCTTGCAGTTTCTCCATTGATGGATTGGTAGAAACGTTTCTGATTGGATTGAAATTGGAGGTTCTGCCTATAGTTTGCAATTCGAGCTTCATATCTACTGATTTTCCTGGCTATAGCTGTTATTTGTTGCTTTATTATTTCCAGTGCTTCCTTGATCTTCCTTGTTTCTAAGTGGTATTTCTTGATTAGGTATTCTTTGGTCTTCTTGTTCTTCAGCTTCTTTTCTTTCATCTGTTCTAGCTTGCTTGCATGTGATCTTAACTTGCTGATCTTATTTTCTAGTCTAACCTTCCATTTTTGTGGTGCACTGTTTGTTTGTTTTTCTTTTTTGTTGATTTTGCATCCCAGGTATTCTGTTATAACTGCAGCTGTGCTGTACATTAGTTGGTTTGTTTCTTGCAGTGAATTGGTGCTTATTATTATTATTATTATTATTATTATTATTATTATTATCTGTTTGCTGATATGCTACCTTTTGGGGCATGGATGGAGATTGTTCTAATGACTTTAATGATGTGGCTTTATAGATTTACTTATTATTGTTTTGGCTTGTGAACCCCTAAGAATGGACATCTTGAGATGGTGTAAAAGTGATAATAAATAAATAAATGGATAAGGTATAGAGTGTAAAAGTTAAGGTGCTGGGATAGTACTAAGAAAGGTAGGTTCAGGTTCCTAATCCACCTTGAAACTCACTGTCTGATTTTGGACAAGTCACATTTTCTTGTCCCAAATTTGTAGGATGATTATAAAATTATTGAAATCTCTCATGAACACTGCCCTGAATTTCTAGAGAAAAAGTGATTTTGATCCTTTAAAGAATAAAATATAAGATAGAGAAATGTATTTAAGGGATATCTTAGAGTCATTTATTAATGAAAAATTCAAGCTTACGTCTAATATTTATTTTGATAATCCATTGTTTTTGCATTGCTGCTTTTGAAACCTGTTACACTTTAGATGAATACACATATCCCTATAAACTATTTGTTTTTTACTGAAAACATAAATTTCTTCTAGCACTGGATCTCATTAAACAATAGAAGAACTATGAACTATTAATGAATCACCATTTTATGTTTTGATTAATGAATTTATTGGGAGCACTTGTTAGGACTATATTTCCTTTATAAATAAAATAATAAATAAATCAAATAAAATTAACGTAGCATCAATGTATACTTTAATTGTTAATGTCTAAGTGTAATAAAAGAGGTAGTCAAAGTTATGAAACAGTAGGGTTCATGTAATGTGATCTTTCAATTCATGACAGAGAGTGGAGAACAGGTCTTTGTAATACTTTACTGGATGTGCTTTTAGACTTAAAACAATTATGCTAAAGATAGTTTAATTCAAACTTAACAAATAATTGCCATTGTATTAGGTTAACACAAATTGTATGTTAAAATATTAAATTGGATTGTCATTTCATCTAGCAGTCTGATCTCTCTCTCTCTCTCTCTCTCTCTCTCTCTCTCTCTCTCTCTCTCTCTCTCTCTCTCTATATATATATATATATATATATATATATATATATATATATATATATATATAGCAGTATAGTAGTAGTAGTAGTATATTATTATGCCATTATGCCATTATGCCTAAGAAGTCTAATCTTAATTTTAAAATGCAAATTTAATATAAATGTTTCAAAGATTTGTTTTATTTAACAGATTCCATTGTTGAATAAATCAAAGTGATAAGAAATTGAAGTTTTGTATCTTTTACTTCAATAAATCTGAGTAAAAAAATACTGAGAGAACCTTTATCAAAGTCAGTAAAAGCTAGTTTTTCCCATGGTTCACTTTAATAGCAAAATGAATGATATCTGTACTTCAAACAAACATTTATAGGACTCTGATAAGAATGTGTGTGAGTCTGGCACTTTATATTGGGAAAAAAATTACTTTAGTACATTCTGTAGTAAGAGAACATTTCAAAGCTTTTAAAGCATAAAGATCATGTACTTAACATGCATTCATTTGTCAAGCAAAGTGACAAATGTATAATTTGTAGAAAGGGCTACAAATAATAGTGGCAGGAAACTTAAAATGTATTAGAGACTTATAAGGCAAGATAACCATCAGAGCTGATGGATCCTGCAAGTATATTGGAGAACTTTACAATTGTCCACAACTTCTGAGGAGAAACCTATATGTTGTTTTAACCTTGTACATTGGCCACTGAGGGTGGTGGTGGTGAGATGAGCAATGATGTAAATCAATGATCTCCAACCTGTTTCACATCAGGCTGTTGGGGTCTGCAGCTGAGTCTGTGTTGTCTGCAGCTCAAATTGCAAATTTGTAGTGAGTTTGGTTCAGTTTGAGATGCAAACAACACAGACTCATCCCCAATAGCTTTGCAGAAAACATCCTGCATTCAAAAAAAAAAAGGCTCAACACACATTTGCACTGCTCAGGTGACCCTGAGGACACAGGTAAACCTCTAAATGGCCTCAATGGTTCTCTAAGAGAATTCAAATGACCAACTTTCTGCAAGGAATATAAATCCTTCCATTCCCCACCATCCAATCAGAGCTGAAGAAGCTTCTTGGATGAGAAGCTAAATGTCTTCAAAGAAGAAACAAGAAGGTCCAATTGCCTCCTGAAAAAGTAACTTTGTGACAGGTTAGATGACAATTACTTAATTTAGGGTAAGAGCAGGCAAGTTATAGTTCAGACTACTTGCAGATATCAACATTATTTCTTAGTGGCTTCCACTGTTTGCACCACTATTAATTTTCAATCTTTTAAAACCCTAAAACACCATTACTATGAAACGCTAAGAGGAAACAAACAAATGACTACTATCAGTATCACTAGTAATAGCATCAATGCAACAATACACAACTGTTGAAAGAAAGAAAAAATGAAACCCCATCAATTCTAATCAAGATTACGTTATTAGAACACAATTATTGAATGAGAATTCTAAGAATTTTGTTCTGATTATTGGTGAAGGGATTCAGAAAATCATGTTATCATTTGTTAAAGGAAAACAATGTATGTTTATGTTATTGCGTACATGAGAATAATGTCATTCACCTCTTAAGAGAATTAAGCTTGCCTAAGTGGGAGCACAGAGTCAACCATGGCTGATTATAAAAAAGCTAAGCAGAGTCAGGTGTGGTTAAAGTATAGCTTGGAAATGATGAAGAAATCTCAGTTTCATAGATTAGATTGGGAACTTGAAAAATACCCTGGACGGCAACAGTGGCCATCTCTTCTTTATAGTTGCTAAGAAATAATATGAGTGCCACCAATAGTTAAATTAAATCCTGTGGTCAACTTTACTTTTTAAATTCTCCATAGAATCAGTTGGAATGAGTTTAAACCTTGACACAGCTGGAATGTATCATATATTTACAATAAATTAGAAATTCTGCTATCTGAGTTAGCAAAAACAATGCAAATAAGCAACTGAGACAATTGGCATGATTAATGGCCATGTTTTAACAAATGATCCCTTCATCCAATAATGCTTTTCAGAGTTACAATCTATATTTTAATCATTTGTCATTAAAGTTGGTAATGTGTCTGTCATTCACTAACAAACAAGTAATATACAAACTGAAATTCACAGACTAAATTTCATTTAATAAATTGCAAACTATTGTAACAGGAAAATATTATAATAGGAGTCATCTACTACACTGGAAGGTCCTTACAGCTAATTTATTGTGTATATTCTGACTAGTGATAACTTCAATTTAGTTTCATATTTGGATAAAAAATGACTGTGGGATGGAGATGTGCCCCATATCCAAAATGGGATTCAGGGTGGTGAGGAGAAATCAGTGCTCTTATTTTTTGTGGCTTATATATATATTGAATTACTTATAAATGTATACTTTAATTCATAAAAATAAAGACTATATTAACTTTATGTTATCATACTATTAATTTATAACAGTGAGGCCCACTGAAAGGCAAGCTTCTTAAATATTTCTTTCTGAATCAAACAAACACAACAAACAAAATAATCTTCTGAAATTATTATCCTTTTCAGTACATGACATGAAACAAGAAATAGTACATACGGGTTTTCCGTGCAGAATCCTCTACAAAAAGGGAAGAGATGTCTTCATCAACTCCTGCTTCATTCTTCGCAATACAAGTGTATGCTCCTGTATCTTCATAACGTACATTGCTAATATGGACTTCGCTGCCATTTGCTGTATGCAGAATTAAAAATATAAATATACATGAGTTATGATTTTAGTCATGTTATTGAGGTTACAAAATTAAATGTATAGAATTTTTTTTTGCATAAACCAACCCATTTATATTGTTTGCTATTTCTTATATGGGTTGTATTGACTTAACAATAACTGCAACTGTAACTCCATCACTAAACAACACAGTCATAAAATGATACATCAAAACATTTGATATGAGTTCATCATTTTCAGCTGCAGTCATTAAGCAAATCACCATGGGTCACTCAACACAAAGCTACTGACTACAACTTGTGCCAACCTGTGAGCTTCCCATTTACTCTACTTGTCAGAAGTCAGTTGTGACAGTTGCAAATGGAGATCATGTGAATACATGATCCTGTGCCCATTGTAAGTGGACACTGGTTTCCAAGGACCTGAACTGTGGTCATGTTACCCTTGGTATGCTGTGACAGCCAGAATTTCAAAGACTGGTTGTAAGCCTCCTTTTTTAACACACAGTAAGTTTGATTGATTACTGAACAAGTGCTTACTAAGAGAGGATTACTGTATTTTATTTTGAATAATATAAATTTTGCCTACAATATGTGGCTTCTTAGTGAAAATTCACTTTCTCTTACTATTAGAATTTAGGAATAAAAATAAAAAACTATACTATATCAATGCCGACATGCATATTTTAACATAATTTAATATAATGGAATTATATACTAATCAGATGTACTATTTTAAAAAGTGTAAAATGTTCCTCTACCACCGAAAATATTTTTAATGTAACAAAATACTGTAGTTCTTGAAAGTTAATATAATTATATTTGTAAGTCAGGTTTATAGAAAGAAAACTGAATTCTACTATTGATTTCTGACTGAAAGTGCGGGCAGTGTCCATAAGTTGTGACTTACTGCCTTAATAAAATCAGACATTTCAGATCATGTCATCAAGTTTTTTTTGCAAACATTAGTGTTGTTTTCAAAGATTTAAACAAATGGCAATAGGTACCCTTCTGATAAACTGTTCCAATGACTATCCATCAAAATTATCTAATCCTCACTTTTAAATGGAAATGCATAGCATCTCTGGGTTACTGAATGATCAACAGTTTCATGTAGATATTGAAAGTGAATGATGAGAGACTCAAGTCCTAAACATAAAATGGGTCTTATGTCTCCCTCCACTTATACCAGCTGAAACTGCAGATAAAATACTACAATATGGTATGTCACCAAAAAGGTATGTATTTTTGAAAATAACAAATTATGATATTAAAAGATGTTCTTTACCTTGAAGAGTTAACTGTTTGGATAACTTTGGAGTTATATCAATTCCATTCTTCAACCAACCAAGCACTGGATTGGGAATACCCTCAGCATAGCATCGAAGACTGGCTGTCACTCCTGGCTCCCTAGCTTGGCTTTCAGGGAAAACTCTTATGACAGGTGGAACTGTATAAGAAAAAAAAGTATATCAAATGCAAAGATTATGAATAGAAATAGAAATATTTCGTACAATAATCAATGATAAGAACCACAATAATATATTTTGTAAAGAAAAGAGCAATGGAATATGATACCTAACCCTACATAGCTCTGTCAAACAATCAGATATATGATTTTTAGGTTTGCAAATAAGTCTTGATTTGATTCATATCAGAGATTCATGACTCAGGTTTTTGATTGATCTGAATTCAGATTGGGAGAAGTCATTCTTTGAATATAAATAGCTGCGTACTGCAGCTACTTCATTTGGGGACAGAATGTGATGAAAATAGCAATGGTTATTTATGAGAAGCTTCAGTTAAATATCTCTAAAGGATTCCTAACAGTACTTTTAATACATAAAGCCTGTACCTGATAGGGAGAGCTAGCAAAAATGAGGGAGAAATAACACAACAGCCCTCAAATTATTTTGGAAAGAGCCTAAATGGTGCTCAATTGATGTAGGAGATTTCTTACTGTTACTTTCCAAAACTTTTTGAAAAATTAGAATTTACTCCTTTTACAACATTAAGAATAACCACTGACATAGCCTCTGTGGACCAATGTGTTCTACTGTTTCTGTATTAGTTGCTGAGCTTGGTCATCCTCATCAGTATTTCGTTGGGGCAAAATTAACCACTGACTCACTTTTATGCAAAATAGAGCTTTGTGACTCTAGTAACTGGCTTCTTGGTGATACATAGACTATACTTTCAACAACAACCCTATGTTGTTTAGCTAGTTAGCAGAAGCAAGAAAGCAGGCCAGCACAATGAAATGACAATGATGAGATAGCATGCAGAAAGTGATAGTTTAGCTTTCTCCATCCCATTTTTCTATCTCCAGAACTGTTATCCATTGGGTCTCAAACCTGGACTTCTTGCTTTCCAGCTAAGAAATCCAGTATCTTAACTGCTGAACCACTGCACCACCACATAGCACATGATGAGATGGAATTGACAAGGATATTCTTGTCTCTTGTTTCTTCAGATCAAAATTTCTAGCCAGTGTATTGACTTAGATAAATCTAGTCTCAGGAAAAAGCCACAGAAAGCTTACTTTCAAATGAATACTCTTTTAAATAGCAGAATGTATACCAAACATTTGTGTGTACAGTTTGCTATAGACATTTCTATATAGAAGTATACTGATAATGCTATTTTCTTTCATGGCAAGCATCATGAAATGGGCAGAAAAAGAGTAAGAAGAGTTTTAAAAAGACATTAAAACTAGGAGTTAATAAATAAAAAAGGATATCAATCCTATAATTAGTACTATTAATTATATTTTTCATTATCCTTTTTAACTTGAAAATTTTACATTTATTCTATCACAGGCATACTCTGATTAATGTCTGTGTGGGTGGGAGTATTTTTGTATGCATATTCTTTAAACTACTAACCTCTCTCTTTTGAAAAGAGTCATGATTTTTCTCCTGTTCTTACATTCATTCATCACCCAAGCATTCATGACACTATCTCTTCTTGTTTTACTATGCCTGATTTTTGATACATTAATTTTCAGATTTCTGTTTGCCGTTGTTAGGTACAGCCTACCTGTGCAAATTATTCTGATTACCAGTTAACTTGGCATTAGCTGCATGTAACAGTACACATATATTTAAATTCCCAATCAAGACACCTCTAATATTGGCACAAGCTTATAAAATAATCTACAGGCTATCACACATTCTTGTCTGTCTGTGCAATGTTGGAGCATTTAAGAATAAATCCATTTATTCTCACATAATTACATAATGTTACGCTTTTAAATATTTACCCACCAATATTGAATTCTATATACATGCAAAACTTTCCATAATTTAAACACATTCTATTATATTTCTTCTAAATTAGCAAATATAGTGTAGGAACCTTTTCTTCTTATTCACATTCATGCATTTCTAATTATCTGAAAGAGCAAAAACCTATTCCCTGCATGGAATAAAGCAACTGTATTCTTTTTCGCTTCCCATACCATCCCAATCAGAACTCTGAAAACATTTTGACAGATACCCTTAGTAAATTAATCCCCATTATAGTTTTGTCATTTACTTGTTCTGCATTTCACCGTAGATAAAAATGGCCCTCATACATTGTCAGGTTGTAAACCATCTACAGATTGGCTTTAAGATGGGCAGCTATAGAAACGTTTTAAGTAAATAAATAAATTTGGTGCATATGCACTCTTCATACAGACATTTTAAAAAGCAAACCACATTCTTATCTCAATATTTTTCCAGTTACATCATCTATATTTGAAGACCTATCTATTTATATATTCTCGTTGCATTTATGACTTTCTTTTCAGAATTTATTTTTTCTTGCTGAGTAATATGTATAGCTTTCATTGCAATTCTATATATATATGGAGATTTCTTGTTTAGCTCTTTTTACTTTTCATAAAATTTACTCTGAATTTCTATGCTTCTTTAAACCATTCTTTCTCTTTCACTCTATTCTTCGCAATTATATATTTTTTACCATCCTGTATATTGCCACTTTTTACAAAAATATCACCTTACATGAATGATTTTTCATCCAGTATTTTTCACTTTATAATTATAAAGTGATTTTATAATTTTGACTTTTAAGTCAAAGTCAATACTCCTAGGGTATAATTTACAAACCTAGAAAGCAATATTCCTGCTATAATCTAATGCTTAACAAACTGATACTTGCCATACTCCTACACATTTAATAGAGTATCCTATACTAAAAGTTACTTTCTGCTAAATAGCTTGTGATATTTAGAGAAAAGGTGTCTGTTTTAATACACAAATCATTTCCTCTGTATATTTGATAAGGGAATGAATGTAAAAATAAAATTCAATATTTATGACAATAAATGAAGAATTATTGAATAAAAAAGTATCATTTCATTGCTAAGTGGTAATCAGAGGATTATACAACATTCAATTATTTGTGATTACACTGTTAGAACAGTTACTTTTATATTGAATGACAAAGCTCTTGTGTCGTATAATTGTATAATACAACTTGTCATATATAAATGAAATTCTGTGTTAAGTAAAGCTTCATATTTAAAAGTGATGGCTTACACAAATTAGAATCTAACTTCCAGTAGTATAATTTACAGTATAATACAGGCATTAAGCACTTCTTGCTATTAGAAGTATTACTGCATTTAGTTTTTTGCAGAAATCCAGAAGCTTGCACCAGACAGGACAGGATGATAGATAGATAGATAGATAGATAGATAGATAGATAGATAGATAGATAGATAGATAGATAGATAGATAGATAGATAGATAGATTATTGTCATTTTTTTTACTGTGGGCACAATGCACACATTAAAAATGAAATTTGTTGCTTGCTCTCAAAGTGTACACATACATAACACACATTTAAACATACTATATACAACATGTGAATAGACCTACACCTTTACATATAAGTAACATATAAATATTAATTGTCCATCTTGAATACATAACAGAAGAAGAAAGCTTTAGAGTTCACAAGGTTAATACTGTATGGAACAAACTGTGACTGAATCTGGATGTTCTGCTTTGTATACCACAAAGCCTCCTCCCAGAAGGTAACAAAGAAAACAGGTCATGCAGAGTATGTGTTGATTCCCAGACAATCTTGCGGACCCTGCTCAAGCAACGCTTATATGCTATGTCCTGAATGGGAAGGAGGGAACTGCAATAATCTTTTCAGTCATCCTTACCACTCTCTGCAGTGGCTGGAAAGAGTGGACTAATAGACTGCATTGAGGCACTGATCACAGCAGCACAAAAACAGGGGCTAACCACCATATCCATAGAAGCAAGAGTCTACCACACTAGACATCATGTTAGTAGACAAAGAACACGAGACGTAGTTATTTATTTTTCTAGGAGATCACTTCGTAATGAAATTTTACAGCCTTTTATAAGCAGAGATTTCAAATTGCAACTCAAGATGTTATAATTTTAAAAGAAATATCTTCAAAAATTCTTAGAAAAAGAAAGGATTTTGCTTTTTTGGCTGATGAGCTCAAAAAACGACAGGTCTGGTTCAGATGGGAGATACTGGCTGGAATAGCGGTGAATTATGTGGGGATATATCACAAACTTAATACAGTTTCAAAGGCGAAAGATTTTTACACTTCTGTTTTGAAGGCGGGCTCTCCATCATCTTTGCGACCTGAGATTATAGAAGAAAAGTTGGAAGGGCAGCCGGTTGATATAGGAGACATACAGGCTGAACCTCTTAGCAGTCTCTTGTGACAGAAGATTTTTTAAAGAAACCGACAATGACTCGTGCAGCTTATAGACATAAAGTAAAAGAACAGCAGAAGGCGGATGTTGGAATAAAGAAAAGGAAATGATGAACTTTTGTAGTAGCTTTTTGAGATAGAAGATGTTTTAAAGGAATAGTGAATGATTTGTGTAATATGTAGATATAAAGAAAAAGAACAATAAATGTTAGTTTAGCTGGTAGTTTGATTTAGTATGTTTTAGGAATAGTGAATGATTTGTGTAGTGTGTAGATGTAAAGAAAAAGAATAATAGAAGGTGTCAATTTAGTGGAAAAGTTTAAATATTTGGGAGTATATATATTATAAATTTTTAATTTAAAGTGTATAAAAATAATTATGAGATATGGGTAAATGTGTAAAATAATTTAAATTCTATTGATCTCTGTTGGTGAGAATTTTAGTGATTAAGATGAATGGTTTGTTGAAACTTCTTAAGTAGGAGGGTATTAATAGATTTACTTAGGGGTGGGGAAAAAAGAAAATAGCCAAGTTTATCGAATGTAAGTTTGTTGGTTGGGTTATATTGGAGGGAAAATTTTGTGTTTATTATGGATGAATGGTTGATTAAAAGAAATATACACCTCAGCGTGGAGAAGATGGATAAATTACATGTAGAGTAAATATGGGTTAGAGTTGATATGGGATTAAAAAGTATTATTTAGATTATGAATAATTTTTAGTTTTTAATTTGGAATGC